ATGAAAAGAGTTGTCAGTGGAAATTAATAAGGGGATTGGATCCTGAAGTGTATCCAAATCTAAGGCTTAGCTGGAAAAATCATTCATCAAAGAAACAAGGGAGGAAAGTCACCAATGGATAGCTGTGTTCGAAAGTCCAGCCAGTTTGTGAAGTTGCAGTTTATTTGTTGGAATATTGGTGGAACAGTAACGAATGAACAATTCGGTTGGTTCAATATGCCTGTAGTGAGTGCTGAACACAAGGGAAACCTGGTATCTCAATGGTTAGGTGCTTGGCTTATAGCCAAAAGGTCAGTAGTTGAAACCCACTCCATGGGAGACAGATGTGACAGTCTGCTTCTTTAATGATTGTTGTTGTTGTTAAGTGCCATCAAGTTGTTTCTGACTTATATCAACTTTGTATGAGGTTTATTTGGATTTAAATCTTTGTGGGAGAAGAAAGCCTCATCTTTCTCCCACGGAGCGGCTGGTGGGCTCAAACTGTCAACCTGGTGGTTCACAGTTGAGTTTTTATAACCTTGGAAACCCTACGGGGCACTTCTACAATGTCCTATAGGGTGCCTATGAGTCAGAACCAACTTGACAGCAATAGGTTTAGAAACAAAAATCATATGTTATGCTGGGCCAAGAAAGGGGAAGGCAGAGTATATTATGTTTCCATCCTTGCCTGGGAGGAGCCTACAGTCAGGGAAGGGGAGTGCTTCTATTTCAGACACCAATGAATCTGCCTTATAAGTGAAATTTAAAAACACTGCTCAAAGAATTCTAGCCTATGGTCATAAAACAATCAGCTTACTTTGTAGCATTTTTGAGGGAGGGTAGAAAGAAATGGATGTACAGCATTCAAGCTTTCAAAGAGAGAAGACATGAGTAGATTCATAGGTAGCTTCAGATATTTTTCAGGTACAGTTAAAATGATTCTCTTTTGAGCCACCAGAACTAGGGAAAATGTGGGTGGAAATTGAAAGAGGATTTCTAATTTATATGTAATATGTTACATTTAGATATTGACCAAGAAGCACTTTCTAATGGCACGAAGCCCTAGTTGGCTGCCTTAGTTATGTCAATTCAAATAATATCAGGAGGATGATGGATGTTGTTGTTGTTGTCCAGTTGATGTTCTCTTCATGGAGACCATATGAACAATGGAGAAAAATGATGCCCAACCCTGAACCATCCTCATGATCATCTGTGGATCATACAGTTGGGGTTTTCACTGAGTGATCACACGGTTTTCACTGAGCGATTTGTACAAGCAGATCATCAAGCTTTTATTTCTAGTCTGTCTCAGTCTAGAAGCTTTGCTGAAACATATTCAGTATCTTATGCACATGCGAGCCTCCACTGGCTGTGGATGTATACTCATGAAGTGCATTGATCAAGAATCAAATCCAGGTATCTTACATGGAAGGTGAGAATTCTACCATTGGGCCACCAGTGTCCCCATCTGGAAGATTGTCATTGTTGTTATGTACCTTTAAGTATGTTCTGACTCATAGCAACGCTCTATAGAATTTCCAAGAGCAGTTGGTGGGTTTGAACTGCTGACCTCGTGGTTGCTGTCCATGCTGATCCTACAGCGCCACACCATTGAGCCACTAATGTCCCCATCTGGAGGACTATTGGCCCTCGGTCTTGGATTTTACAGGGTAATGTTGATGTTGTACAAGGTCCTTTTTAGCTTTGGTTTGCCAGTCTAACCCTGCGAACTTCTAAAGCAGCGGCTCTTTGAGAATCTGATAACAAGTTATGAACATTATACCAGGGGAAAAATGAAGTATGTACATAAAAACAAATAATTGTTAAAACAAGACCTCTTTGAAGTCTTCCATAAGAGCTCCATGGACTTCTTGTCTTGGTGTATTTCTAAAGGAGAGAAACATAGCCATTGCCTACTTTACAAATTATGTACTCTGAAGGAAAAAAAAACCCCCAAAACTTTGGGACTTAATTTAGAACCACAACTAACTAAGGTTTGCCTCTAATGCAGCGTGTCCTATCTTTTTATTCCATCAGTCTTACTTCAGTGGCCCCAAGCAACTTACAACTTCACAGATCATAATCATATGCACATATTTTACTTTAAAAGTAATAATGATGCTGTTTGGTGAAACCACATACAGCTGTATATTATATTGTAACTGAGATTCTCTTGTAGGTGGGTCTGGGGCGAGTTCTTATTGATTAGGGCTGTCTTACATATTCATACTGGAAGAGTTCATGAGCTATTCAAGAATATTCTTGAGACTTTAATCATGCTTAATGAACTGAACTAAACATTACTCTGTCTTTGTTTTGGTAACCTTGTAGATTTCTTCTAATGCTCACTTTTCATATGACCACATCATTCTTGAAATGCTAATACATAAAATGCTAATTCAAGAAAGGATCACGAAAGTTAGATATCATTTCCTAGAAGTACACTGTGTAGTCACAGACCTTCCGGAAGATCAAGGCTGTGAGACGAATAATATTAGGTGGAAAATCTTGGCTCCCACCTTTGGTGAATACATACACATTTAAACATATAGGTTGCACAAAATTTGGATAAACTGAGGTGGAATCCAACATTTCTTGCATGAGTGCCTGTATAATGTGGCGATAGCTGTGAGAAAATAGGAGCCCAGCATCTAAGACCCAACACAATGAAAATGCAATGAATTGGAATGCCTCACAGATCATAGCGGAATCAGAATTTCCAGCAAGGAAAATCTTTTCATGGTGAATTAAGTGGTGGATGAAGAAAAATGGTGATGAAAAAAGGTAGGCACAGATCACAAACACTGGGCTCAGGGCTCACTGCTGAAGATTTAAGAACCTTAGCTAAAGCTATGCAGAATAGAATGTGGAAAATTGAATTTACTAAACAATTAAGCATTGAATTAATCTACATCCTGCACAGTAGAAAAGTGGGGGAGGGAGTGGAGCGGAGCTGAATAAATCAGTGGAGCTCATTAAAAGATAGTGAATATATCAGGTCTGTTGTAGCATAAAGGAGGACACTTTCCTGTATAACAAGGAATAATTCTTTGGTTCTAAGTCACCTTTTTTGGAGTCCTGGTCTTAATCAGATTAACAAACATGCTTCTGATGAGGTGAGTCTGTTCCTCTATATTTTAGCTTGTTATCACTAGCTTTTCTATTAATTACAAGTCAGATCACCAGTCAACAATAGTAGTGAGGGACAACATAAATAACATGAGAGTGCCCCGGAGATGTCACTCGCAGGATCTCACGCATCCTGAAGCCCCCACGGGTTCCTGCAGCCTCCCACATGCCTTGCTGGTCTTTTGTTCAATTACAGTTAATGCAATAGTTTGCCATTTTCTCCTTCTAATTATATTTTCAAGTGGGATTTGTAGCACATAGAAAAACATCCTTTTACATGTAGAGGCACCGGGGTTTTGTGCCTGGCATTGTCTGTCCCCTGGGTGCTGTACTATTCTTTCTGCAGAGCTCTGAATAAACAAGTCCCCCTTTTAGAGCTGCAGTTGTACAAACTGAAAATTTATGCATTAACTGTTTGCATTCTGAGCATGTGTTCCAGAGTACGTCTTACAGCATTCTTCTGGTATGCTGCAGAATGCATGTCTGTAAGAAGCATTGCTTCCACAATTCACGTATCTTTCAATCACAGAAACAGCAGATCAATTAGCACTGATTTTTTTTTTTTTTTAGAATATGCATAATGGTTGAGTCAAACATACAAGTGGTATTATCTTTCTGTGACTTTATTTCATTTTTCAGACTGCATTAGGACCCTGGCCAGGATGATGGAGTAAGTGGCCGGGAAAACATCCTTTTCAGAAAAAGTGAATCTTTCTTTTTGATTCCTAGGCAGTGGGCCCCTTAGATGGAATCTTTACTTTTCTCTCCCTGGGTGTCTGAACTATTTTGATCTCTTCAGCCCTTCTTATCTTCTCTGGGATATGAAAATACATTTTAAGAAATAAGCAAAGAGTCCTTTATTGTGCTAGGAATTTTTTTTTAAAAAAAAAAGGTTGGGAGAGCCAGTAAACTTTAGTATGTTCCACAGTCATGAGCCATCTCATTGTAGGATCAAGATGATGTATACATACTCCACATCCAAGATCATCCTGCCTCCCCATTCATCAGCTTGAGAACCAGATTCCTCACTTGCCAAGGATCAGTTTTGTCTTTTGCACCATTCCTACTGTGTAGGATGACCAGTGACTCATGAGGCTGTTTGTGAAAGCAAACACTAAAAGCTAATTAAAGTCATTTCTGGTGATAAAGGGAGATTTGGGAGCAGTGTCGCCATGATTGTTTCCCCCAAGAATTTAATTTACAGCCAATTTTTCCTATCTGAATGTTACTTTCAAATGCACCCAATGATAAGAAACAACATCTGTTTTCCGTTCAATAGTACAAGGAGGCTCGGCATGGGGCTGAATGTACAGAGTCCATGTGAATCTATTGTTCTTCTCATTTCTTTTTTGTCCCTGTGCCTGGTCCATTTGCCATGTACCATCAGGCAAACAGCTGACACATATGAGCTATTATGGACCCAGGCCTAATTGTGAGGTCTTAAAAGCACTGCCATGTTTGTCTTCTCGGATGAATCAGAGGCCTCTCTAAACCACAGTGCGATAGCCCACCACTCTCATTTTGCATTTGCAGAGTAGCAGACTGTTGTGCCAGAGGGTTTGTGGATGTTAAAAAGTATAGTCAGAATTGGTTGGCAGCATTATTTTTTTTTCCCCTCTTTGCCTGGAATGTCTCTGTTTTCCTTGGTAATAAAGATGCAATTGCTTACAGGACAACTCTTCTGTAGATATTATCTTAGCTTGAGAGGAGAACTGGGCAGATCTTACATGTGCCAATGTAGCTTTGAGCTGGAACCACTTTTAAAGGGGGCCGGGTGGGATGGGCATGGTTGTCCAGTCTAGTCTTCCATGGATTTCTCATTATGCAGTGAGATCTTACTCAGCAAGTGCTAACAGACGGCTCCATTTGGATTTCTGATTTGTGCCCCACAGCCCTCTTGGAACAGAGACCATGATGACACGGCATCTACCCGTTCAGGAGGAACCCCAGGCCCCTCCAGTGGTGGCCACACATCACACAGTGGGGACAACAGCAGTGAGCAAGGTAGGAGAGGTGGTCGCATTCTCTTGGCTGCCTGTGTTATCTTTTAAGGAAAATCAGAAATGTCTACTTAGTCACTATTTGTAAAGATTTCCCCAGAACGTAAATCCCGGCTAATTAGGAAATCAGTTCATCTTATGTTACCCTAACCTTTTCCTTCTTCTCCCCCACTTCCCACTGCCTAGCAGCCTGGTTACCTCCATAAAGTAGGTCAGGGGATCTACTGAGGGTACCAGCAGACAAGTAGACTAGAAGTTCAAGTGTGCAGAAATAGTATACTACTAATATCCTGCTGAAGTCCTGGTGTGACACTCTAGGATAAGCACCGGACTGCTCACTGCAAGGTTGGCCGTTCAAACCCACCAGATGTTCCTTGGAAACCCTATCCAGGGTCTCTGTGAGTTGGAACCAACTCAATGGCAAATCCAAAGTATGACTGATCATTACTTGCCTTCAGATGCTTTTGAAGGGATTATGCAGAAACACCCACAAGGGTTTGAAGTCAGTGATGTCTTGAAGATTTGAGAAGGCACTCATCCTTTCAGAAACCTGGAATGGACTTCCCTTTAGACTGGGCTGAGCCATTTTTCTGTTTCTACTTATCCAAATCTCTTAAGTACTTGACTTCATTGCACAGACAGACTAATTGGAGTTATGGAGAAAAGGAGAGAAACCAGACCGATTTAATTTGGGCTGTACATTGAATGCAATGACTTGTGCATATGCGTATGTAAGTGTCCATGGGTGTGCATGTATAACCAGAACTAGTAGAAAATATAGTTTTAACAGGTATGATAGTCTGCTTCAAAAGATGAATGGGCAATCATCTGTCTGTCTTGTTTCATGTTTGATGAGGTCTACAGTAGTGGATTTTGTGTCCATTTAATGCCATTAAAGCTTAAAGGAGGATTTTCTCTCTGAATTTTCAAAGGCTGCTTTTTAAATCTGGTTTTATGATTGGTTTTTATGGAAGGACTGTTAGACAACAAAGCAATTCTGTTTTCTAACTTTGTTGGGCTATGTTGTTGTTAAGTGCCGTTGAGTTGGTTCCGACTCATAGTGACTCTGTATAGGGTTTCAGAGGAGCAGCTGGTAGGTTTGAGCCACCAACCATGTGATGAACAGTCCAGTGCTTATCTTACAGCGCCACACCAGGCTACCCCAATTAGAACTGTAAAGTCTACAATGAATGTAACACAATTAATTTGAAAACAAAAACAGGAAAGTAAAAGAAAAAAAAAATGGAGGTTCATGTATGCTATTGTGCTGAGAATCACTTTCATAAATAGAATTGTAAGCATTTGCGACATTTTATCGTTCAAAGAAAAGTTGCTGACTTCATCATAACTCTACTCTAGTAAAGCACAACCTGGACTAGTAAACTGGTTCAGAGCTGAAGCAGAAACAGGTAACCCCTGACCTCTGACTTTTACTGGAAAATGATATGCAGCAGAAATCCGGAGGGCCTTTTTTCTTTTAAGTGTATGTATATGTGTTACAGTTCACAGCTAGAGTTAAGATAGTGGCAGCACTTCGAATATAAATCCCTACTTTCAGGATTCTGCTTTTTCCACCCACTTTCAAACAGGGTACATGGAATCCATGTTGTTTTTTGTGTTTTCCCTATAGTACAAAATTACTGCCTGGGGTGGCAGCCTGGTGTGTTGTTTGGCTCCTTGTTTTTAGTTTTTCTTTCTCTCACTCTTCTGTTTTATTTTTTAATGTTTCACCAGCAAACATTGAAGTAGTATAGCTGTCACCTTGAAGGTGTGCACTACTGAAACACACTTGAATTTAAAAGTGTAGCATAACACTTTTCTCAAACGTAATCTGATAAGAGGATTTTCAGAGGGTCAATGCCCAGTACTAATTCTTTCCCTCGGAGACGCCATAACAAGGAATTAGGACTTGTGCAAGCTGCAAATGCTCTCCTAAGGCTAGTTTAATGATGACTTTTATTGTAACCAAGAGCTGTATGTTCTTCACATGACCACATGTTCCCTTTTACATGTCTTCACATAAGACCATCACTGTTTTGTTTTGTTCCGTTTTTCCAAAAAAACACTCACAACAAAAATGATCTCATTGGAATTATCCCAGTTGAACCAGAAAACAATGCTGGGTGACAGATAAAGCAGGGCTAGCCCCATTTGACAGATGAGAAAGGTGAGGCTTGGATTAGATGACTTGTTGAGGTTCCAGTGCAGACTCAGACCTCACATTCCAGCTCCCTGATTATTTATATAAGATTCTTCTCATCCTACCCTCCTCCCTCCCCCATTTCCCCTTCAAAGAACCAACATAAGTGACTCCATCCGCTGTGGTCCAATGGGAACTTCCTGCGATGCGCTGCTTTCTCCCTACCTACTGCTCCCCACCCCTACAGCTGGATAACAGAGGGGGTGGGAGGTGTTCCTTTCTCTTACTTGTCTTCCCTGTGGACTCAGGCTGTGTGATTGTTTCCTGCTAAATGCAGAATTATGTCTGGAAGCAACAACTTACGCACATTTTCATGCCAACCATGACCCTCCTAAACCTTTTTTCATCCCTGAGACCTGTGGAGCTGGGTCTTTATGCAGCCTTCGGATTAACCGTACACAGTGGCTTTCCCATATTTTCCCTGTCTGCCTTTTCTGGCAGGCACAGATGTGTAAGCCGTGCCAGTATTTGGCCCATAGTGCATGTCCTAAATAGTTATTTACACAGTTTGAGTCCATTTTAGTCAACTGGGTAAATAACAGCTCTCTTCAAAAGATTTATAAATCCATAAATATGTCTTTATACATACCCAATAGACAGAAATAACTCAATCTGTCAAGAACCTATCCAAAGAGGTGTTTCCCCAACAGACAGGAGTAATATATATTTTAAAACTTTCTGTACTATATTATTTGCACTGTGTTTCATTTTCCTTATTCCTTTTCAATTTTCACCACTTCATTATGGCACCTGTGGAAAAAGAAAAGGAAAGGAAAGGAAAAGAAATCCCCTGAGCTTTGGTTCTCCATTAAAGAACCTTATCTGCTGCACTATGGAGGCATGTAGCAGGCTGTGGCCCAACTAAATCCTGTACTTTGGGATTTTCAAAGTAAATAAAGTCCAATAAACATCCAGGACATTTTGAATTCTGAGAGATTTCCAAATTCAGTAACAGTTCCTAGTTAGAGCTCCAGCTATTTGGGGGACTTCTGAGGGCCTGATAATATGCCAAATTAGTAACTGTTGTGTTCGATAAAATTGTTTTAGAACAAGTTTTCACCTACGCGTAACAAAACGTTTTAAAAATGGTATGCAACATTTAGTTGTACGTATTCTAAGGAGAATCTATGTAAGGTATACAGTTAGAGCAGACCAATGATTTCATTATTCAGAGGTTAAATGCTTATTCTTGATTCACATATTATGTCTTTTCCCAAACTCAAATGATACATCATGACAACTCTTCCTATGAGGTCTGCTTTCATTGACTATGAACACCTTGCAAGAACTTGACTCTTTTGTGGTGAAACCCTTTTAAAAAGCATTTAAAAGGAAGTCCTGGTGAAGTGCTGTGGAATAAGCACTGGACCACTAACCAACCACCAGGTTGTCGGTTCAAACACACCATCCACTTCTCGGAAACCCTACACGGGGTCACTATGAGTTGGAACCGACATAATGGCGAATAACAGCAACACCTCTGTGCACGCCATCCTAAACGGGTCATTTAGTTAGGGGTCTACTGGTGGTACCATCGTGATCTTGTCTACTCTTTAACTTTGCTAAAGTACTTTCAGGGATATTACACTTAATCCTTATTTTGTCTCTTTTAATTATTCGCTAGTTCACCATTTCACAGGTTGGGGAGAGGGGCAGTGAGGTGGGGCGGAAGGGAAGTAAAGCTCAGAAATATTGAAGCCTGAGTTAACTGTCAAGAGTCGTGGGACCTTGGTGTTTTGGCTGTAGGGCTCCCAGCTGTGTCTAGTGACAGGAGGTGCACTTGGGCAGGTGCTGAACTCTGCCACATGTCTTCTTTATCCTACTGAGTGTGGTGCTCCACTGGCCACAGTCAGGGCCTGCTTGAGCGAGTGAGTGGTTTTGGGTGCCTCTTTCCAATCAGATGTGTCCTTCTCCTCAGGAGGGTTTCCACAGCCCCTGCAGGACTCATAAGAAGTATTAGGTTCAATTGAGCATGTTTTGCGTTTCAGCGTGTCCCTTTTTTAGTTCAAAAGAGTAGAATAAATGATGATCATTAAGGAATAAAATGGTACCTCAAGGGCTGCCAATTTGCATAGTGAATCTCTTTCCTCGTTTTATAAATGAGATCTTGGAGGTTCACAGAGGCTGAGAGATTTGTCCATTGCCATTCAGTGGTTGATGTTCCAGTTGGGATTTGAACCCATGCATTTTGACTTCACAGCCCAAACTCCCACATTGTTTTTGTTGTTGCTGTTGTTAAATGCCATCAAGTCATTTCCTACTCATAGCGATCCTGTATAACTGGGTTTCCAAGGAGCAGCTGGTGGGTTTGAACCGTAGACCTTGTGGTTCACAGTCCAGTGGTGATCCTACAGCGCCACACCAGAAGGCCAAGCTCCCGCATACTGGGTCCTATTTGAGATTGTGAGCCAGTCATGGAAAGGAAGCTCTGGGGGGCAGAAATGGTTAAGCACTCAACTACGAGCCCAAATGTTAGCAGTTTGAACCCGCCCAGAGGTACCTCCAGAGACAGGCTTGAAAGCCCTATGGAGCAGTTCTAGTTCTGTACACATTGGGGTCTCCATGAGTTGTACACAGTCAAGTCAGCAGCAGTCACCTGCAATAAGGCCTGGGAAGGCAGTTCAGTGGATAGGCGTTTCTTCTTTGATCTCTTCAGCACCTCTCTTCCAGGTGTCTGAGCTGTGTTCCATACTGGTACTGGCCACACTACCAGGAACTAGACGGAATCGTCTTATCCTCAGGGCGTTTATACTCTGCTGGGAAGTGAGAATCCAGTTTTGCCTGCTGAGTAGAGTGATGACTGA